AAAAAAAAAAAAAGAAAGAAAGAAAGAAAAAGAAAGAAAGAAAGAAAGAAAGAAAAAGAAAGAAAGAAAGAAAGAAAGAAAGAAAGAAAGAAAAAGAAAGAAAGAAAGAAAGAAGGAAAAGAAAAAGAAAGACACTTTTGGGGGTGGGGAGTTTAGGTTCAGTTTCAGACAAGTCTGAGGTGATTCTTGGGCCATTTCTCAGGTGAATTTCCAATTGTTGGAAAAAGATACATAATTCAATCTGCGATATGGGCATTTATAGGAGTAAAAGAGTTGGGTAATCAGATTAAGTTTTTATATGTAAAAGAAATCCTACACAAGTAAAAGGTATTCAAAACACGAGACATTGAGATGTCTTCTTTACTTGCTAGGAACCGAGGCAAGTTGTATCAGCTCTCAGAACCTCAGTTTCTTTATCCACAAAATAGGGGTAACAACAGGACTTACTCATAGCCTTTGGTGAAGGTAAAATAAAAATTCGTGTGGAAGGTTTAACATGATGCCTGGCCTGTGGGATCATTCAGTGAGTGGTAGGTTATGGCTGCACTACTGATATGACACCAAGGTAGGAAGAAAAGTAAGACAGTCAGCAGCCCACCAGACTGTAGCACCTTCGTAGGTGGCTAAAGGTCTGCTTTATTTGCTTATGTGTTGCGCAAAGCACATTAAGTCATAATGACTTTAAACAGCTTAAGGTCCAACTTTTGCTGAACCTGGCAATACTGAAGGTGCCCATACTAATACGTCTACCAATCAGTAAGGTACTGTGCTCAGTGAGTGACTTCAAACCCTTTATTATATCCACTAACTTTTCCATTTCCTATTGTCTTTCAAAAAACACGAGGAACCTACCAAATGAGGGTAAAATTAACCAAGGTTGTCTTTCTATTTTTCTCCCCTGGCCATCTGCCCCTAGCCTTTGTCTATAAGTGGGAGGATTTTTAGAGAATAGCCAGCGATAATTGGCTACTTTAGGAATAATAACCTGGTCTTAACTGGTTCTTCTCATGACCCATGGTTTCTTGGCAGCCTTGTTAAAAGAGAAGCATAGGTGTCATTAGGAGATGACTCCAGCCCTCTAAATATGCCAGCTCCCTGCAGTTATGTCACTATTGGCCTCATCCCAAAGTTGTATCTGCCTCATCCTCCCTGAGAGAAGAAGTTCCTCAAAGACATAGCAAACATAATATCCGTCTATACTGACCTATGCTATTGAACTGTCACAGTATACCTTATGAAATACATGCCAAATTTCCTTTATAAAAGGGAACCTGACGAAAAAGTGCTAACCAAAGGGAAACAAAAAATTTACGCTCATACCTGAAGTGCTATGAACGTTGGTAAAGGAATTGTCAGAGGCACTGTAGGGCCAGGCACCAGGTGAAGGCAGCGAGGTGTTGAGGGAAGAATTAGACCCTTGGTAACAAAGAAGAAGAAGAAAATACTGAAGATAAACGTTGGTATAACCAGTAAAACCTTGAGAGTATTTTATTCAAACTTCAACAGGCTGGAGGACAAAATATGTCTGACAAATAAAGGTGAAAAGCAATATTCTGACTTTTTTTGGTTAAACTTTTAGGTATGAGCAAGTAGAAATGAAGTCACAGACCGACAACTAGGAAAATGCTGGGTGTTGAATATATAAGAGATGCTTTGCTCAATTACCTGTGGTGTTGTCCCGCAGCAGTTGGTGGTCAGTATCTACAATGGGAGATGTGGCTGTGCCCCCCAGCACACTTCCTGGGGTGACATAGGGGTCAGATTCAGGGTCAATGTTTTGGATACCTTTCCATGGCACTCCTGGTTGGAATTCTGAGACAAGGAAAACAAATATTAGAGCATGAAGGTTGTTAAAAAAAAAAAAGATATAGTTTTTTTTTAATATAAGAAATGGGTCTGTGAGTCTGGGCGTGGTGGCTTACGCCTGTAATCACAGCACTTCGGGAGGCCAATGTGGGCAGATCACAAGGTCAGGAGTTTGAGACCAGCCTGGCCAATATGGTGAAACTCCGTCTCAACTAAAAAATACAAAAATTAGCTGGGCATGGTGGAACATGCCTGTAGTCCCAGCTACTCAGGAGGTTGAGGCAGAAGAATCACTTGAACCTGGGAGGTAGAAGTTGCAGTGAGCCGAGATCATGCCACTGCACTCCAGCCTGGGTGACAGAGCAAGACTCCATCTCAAAAAAAAAGAAAAAAGAAAAGAAATGGGTTTGTGAAAAATATAAATACTGAATTTATATACTGATTTTCATCACAAAATTAAGGAAAAAAAATCAGCATGAACATATACTCCTGCCAACAGCATGCTTGTATTATAACACTGTCTGTGGGGTGAACTTGAAGCCACAGTTCGTGCCTGGCCCTGGTAACCTGATCCTCCTGCTCCCAGGAGACTTCAGGCCTGAAGGCAGGAAAAGCAGGAGTAAGAACTCTGGTGTTCATAAAAATGATCCAAGTATCTAGGCCAGGAACCGGGTGAAAATATGGACTAAAGATCAGTGTCCTTTCTCATTTTCCTTACCAGATGTTGGCCAAAATGCAAAAAGTGTAATACAAATGCAAGATGGAACGTCCAGGGGTAATTTAGCTTAGCAAAAGAAAACCTAGAATATACATGAGAGCTCAGAATTTTTTTACTGGTCAATTTAAATCATTTAAAAATTTTAAAGCTGTGTGATAGGATAAACTTTCATTTTCCCAATTGTTATGAGAAAGAGCAACGTGTACCATATATGAATGATCTACATTATACAATTTTACTTTAATAAAATGAAACTATACATATTAGTGTCACAAATATGTATGCACAGAGAGAGGTCTACGAGGACATATATTTATGGAATTATTGATTTTAATTTTTGCTTTATTAAATGTTCCCATTTTTCTAATATGAGAATAGATTACTATGTCCAACAAAAGAGAGGGAGAGAGAAAAAAATTAACAAATAATTTCATTGCAATCACTACTGCATACTTAGAACCTAACTGATAATAAATACTTGCCTAAGACCTAACTAATCAATTCAACAGACACTTCAAAAGAACCCATGTTACAAGGCATCCTATGCATGGGACAAATGCCAAGGCCCAGCTACAATGTCACTTCTCTCCAGATTCCCCATCTAACGAAAATTTTCTATCTTCCCACAGCATATGCCTTGCTCGGTCACCCAGGCTGGAGTGCAGTGGCACAATCTCGACTCACTGCAACCTTTACGCCTCCCAGGTTCAAGCAATTCTCCTGCCTCAGCCTCCTAAGTAGCTGGGACTACAGGCGTGCGCCACCATGCCCAGCTAATTTTTGTATTTTTAGTAGAGACAGGGTTTCACCATGTTGACCGGGATGGTCTCGATCTCTTGACCTCGTGATCCACCCAACTTGGCCTCCCAAAGTGCTGGGATTACAGGTGTGAGCCACCGTGCCTGGCCTAACAATTATTGAATGAAAAAATGAAAGCAAGTGCCTTAGTAACATGAGTCACAAAAGCAATGTATTCTGAACCTGAATCTGACAATTACAAAATAAATGCTATCATAGAAAAGCATTTCCTGGACAATACCTGGAGGCCAACTGGCATTGCTGGATTTACTTCCGATTTTATTTGTTGGTGGAGATTTGGCAGGTAACCAGCTATCACCAGCAGGACCCGTATGGCCACCCAGTGTGTCACCAGGGATGATATCAAACTGGTTGTACGGTGACCCTCCCCGGGTCTTACCAGGGGCCACTATAGCGCCTGAGAAAAGAGAGGAAATTAATTCATCCAGAGTAACTCCTATGAATGGAACTTTTGTCTATTTTCTATTCATTGGAACTCAGTCTTCTGAAGCTGATGGAGTACATACAAACAGTACTGGAGTAAGAGGTTTCATTAGAGACTCAGCGCATAATTACTAAGCAGCAAGACCATGAACAAGTCATTTCACCTCTCTGAGCCTCTGAGTTCCTTATTTAGGCACACAGGATTGTTCTCATGCTTGAATGTTCCTTTCAGTTTTAAAATTCCATGGTCTTATGAAATTAATGAAATGTTCACAAACTAGCAATCTTATCATTATACCTAGTTTCTATGCTAATGACCCAAGAGTGAGAAATGGGGAAAATTCTAACAATCTGTAGCACATAAGAAGGTTTTAACTAAACTTCCACTGATGCTATCCACCCAGGTTCTTAAGGGCTGGCTGATCAGGCTTAGATTAGCTGGAAGCAGCAGTATAAACAGAGAGTCCATTGGAGAGAAAAGCATCTGCAATTGCTTTAAATTCCAAGGCAATGAGATGGAATTCCCGCCTAGGGTCTTTGCCAGCACAAGACCAGCAATGAACTCTGCAGCTCTGGGATCCATGGCCTCACACATAAAGAACAGCAAATCCTTTGTAACTGCTTTCCTTAGAGCATTTCAGTGGTTTTGCTGGTGCCCCAACACGCATTTTATATGCTACGGGGCAGGAAAATAATTAAAAGCTTAAAATTGCCTTGAACTAACAAAACATGCATTTTAAATAAAATTTTAGGAGTCAGTGAGATACCAGTCTACTTATTTCTCAAATGAATTTTACATACTGTATCGGGTCACTTGACCTATTCTTAGGATGCTGCTTGTGAAGGGATAAAATTATTTCCAGGGTGATGCAGCCTAATGGGAGTATTATCAAAACTATCTCCATGTGCAGCTAAGAGGACATTTGCTTTTCTGGAGCTACTGACAAATCTGGCTCAGAGGCACATTATGGTGAAGCAGTGGAAAATGAAAAGCTCAATTACTTTGGGGATTGCTAAGGAAACGTGAAAACATGATCCACAAGCTCTAAAAAGGCAAGTAGAGATTTTGTCTTTGAGATATCATCTCACGTGCTGTTTCCTATTTATTATCATGCACCTATCATGTCTTTGGGGACAAGGGGACCAGGTGAATCATCAGCCTAAGGAAGCACTGAAAGTGCCCAAAGCTATAGCTGACAGTGGGCTTGCATTATTCCATCCACAAACAGATTTTACAATGTCAGTAAATCATTTTTGTCTTCATGTCATGAAACCAAATGATAATGCTGAGGGATGGCAGGCAGAGAGCTCCATGTGGTTATTTCACCAGCCTCCCGGATGGGCTTATTAAAGAGTGGTTTATAAAGGAAACCTGAAAGGCTTCAGACTGAATGACTTGGCTGGGGCTGAGGCCTGCCAGGGCGCTGCAGCAGGAACAGCCAGACACCTCTTTATACTTGGTTCTCACGGATACAGTTAAGTCCAAGTGAATTACTGTCAAGTGAAACAAACCCTGAAACAAAGGCTGAAGGAAGGTTCTGAGACCTTCTATCTGTTTTACAGAGAAACAGAGAAGCCCTTACAGAGAATAATCGAGAGGAAAAGCTGACCCACATCACAACCAAAGCCTGCAATACCCTTAAATGCTGTCTTGCAGACACTCTAATTCACATAGAATAAGAAAGCTTTGTGAAAAGTTCAAATCTCATGTATTGTGATCTATCAGTCATCCTTTGAAGATTAAAAGGCAGGACATTTTTTTTTTAAAGCTGATGAACTTAATATGGTTCAAATAACCAACAAGATCAGTATTTGTTATGATTCCTTGCTCTGCAAAGCAAAGCAAAACAAACTCAACTCAACAAGCTGACTCTGCTCCCTCAGCCAACTTATTAGGGCTTCACCTTGGTGGGTACCCAAGTTCACTGCTACCACCTTCAATCATGGTAGCTGAAAAATTCTGCTCCCCTTAATTAGAGCTAGCACTTTATATTTCTTATAATTTAACATACATGTGACTCTGTCCTTCCTCCATAGGCGATCACAGGATTCAGGAAGAAAAGAATACCAAGAGACTCATTAAGAAAAAGCTAAAGTTCTGTACTTCAAAACAGTATTATAGGATGTTTCATCAAGACCTGCTGAGGGTTGGGGCTCTAACTTTCAGTGCTTCTCTTACCATTTTTGTGCATATTGGCTTCCTGTGTGGCTACAGAGGGCAGCCCCTCCATCATGGAGGTCCACTGTTTAAAGCGAGACTCAGTTCCAGCCTCCTTCCCACCAACCATGCCATAGTCCATGCCGCCAGAGCTGAAGCCTAAAAAGGAGAAGACCACATTTTTTAAGTCTCTAGCAACAATAACAAGAGTTCTGAAGCAGGCCCCACGAATGCCTTCAGGTGTCATTCACAGACGAATTCACCAAGTTTCTACATTCAGAAACAGTTATTTTTGATTCCAAGTTTAGGCCTTGGCTCTTGCTTCCTAAAAAAGTGATGTCTCTCTGTGAAGGTATTAAGAAGTGTATGACTGCCATGGATTAGCTCCGTCTCAGTGCATTCCTGCAGGCCCTTTTTCTTTTTCATTCAGATGACATATGTCCCAGGCAGGATGCTGGGACTAGCCATTCTCCAACTGAGATGGGGAGGACTACATCCAACCAGTGTAGCCCAACAGCAGTGACAGTGCTGTCATCAGGGAATCTTGGGGAAGGAGAGGCTTTGCAGAAGGGACACGTGAGCTAGGGCCTAAGGTAGGTATTTGGGGAAGTCAAGGAAACCAGGTACATTTATGGAATGGTGAGAGATTCAAACGACTCCAATGTTTAGCTAACTCTGGGATGAAGTGAGGTGGGGAGTGGTGGGGGTGTGGAGAAATGAAGAGTCACGTCATGTAGGGTCTTTATATATCATACCAAGGAATAGGACATTTTTTTTCCTCTAAGACAAGAGATAATAGAAATTTTAGGCATGTGAGAGGATAACTAATAATGTATTTTAGGAAGAGAATTGGCAGCCTTGCGATGGGTAGAGGTCAGGGCAGAATCTGAAAGATAAATTTGAAAGTAGTCTTTAAGCAATGGGGAAGACCCCAAAGCTTGAATAGGTGAGTAGTTAAGAGTTCTCAGTTCACTTTGCCATGAGCCCCAGGTAAGCTTCAGGGGAAGAGTCTTGGGTAATGTTCTCCCACTGCACAGAGCTGGAGAGCTGAAGCCACACAGCAGAAGCTGGGTAATAGAGTGTAACAGGATCCATCATCCATTTGGGTCAGAAAATATGTGACACTTGCTCATACAAACTCTCAAAAAAGTAAAATAAAGGACTAAAACAGATGAAACAGGGGAGGGGAAAAACAATAAATGACCACAGAAAAATGAGAATGAGCCACAGGAAGTGCAGAGCAGCAGCATGAACGCAGGCACCCCAGGGAGGTGAGCAAGGCTCCCACCACGGCAGAGCCAACCTACCCTGCCCCAAGATGTGTAACTCCAGCCAGGCCAGACTCCACACTGCACCCACGGTGGGTCCTCAGTTTCCATCTATCCAAATCCCACTGAGGGCCCAGGTTGTGTTTTTCTTCCCCTGTGCTTATTTTAGTTGTCTGGGATAGTTTTATAGACGCATAATAAATCAAGTAAAAATCTAACACCTTCCTGACCCATGGTTAAAAATGTTGCTATTTATATAAAGAACAGTGTTCTTTCATACACTGTAACTGAATTTCCTAGTTCAAAATGATTGGTAGGTGGGGGTGGGGAGCAGAAATCTTTAGAATGAGATGAAAATATTTCAAATGAAATTATTATTATTTTTTGGAGATGGAGTATCACTCTGTTACCCAGGCTGAAGTGCAGTGGCGTGATCTCGGCTCACTGCAACCTCCGCCTCCCGAGTTCAAGCAATTCTCCTGCCTCAGCCTCCCAAGTAGCTGGGACTACAGGCACACGTTGCCACACCTAGCTAAGTTTTTGTATTTTTAGTAGAGACAGGGTTTCACCACGTTGCCCACGATGGTCTCGAACTGCTGAGCTCAGGCAATCCACCCGTCTCAGCCTCTCAAAGTGCTGGGATTACAGGTGTGAGACACTGCGCCTGGCCTTATTATTTTTTAAAGAAGAGTTTGAGGCATTTTTTTCTTTCTTTCATCCTAGGTAGCAGAAATTAGATTGGAGGGCACAGAAGTTGCAAGGAACAAAGGTTTTCTCTGACATAAGCCTTAATGGCCTAAACAGGTTGCTCCTTGGGTAAATTACACTTCTGCCTTTGAGAAAACCAGGCCATGGTGCTTGGATTCCAGGCCACCTGAAAGCTCAGTTCTAATAACCAAGAAAGAGCTTTTGGAAATAACCTAGGATTCTGGCAAAGATTAAAAAGAATGCTAAGATTAGTAAGAAGAGGAGGAACCATTCCTTATACATTAATTTTCTTTGAAGTTATTCTAAAATTTTCTGTAAGACCCATAGTAAATTAAATTTCTTTTCTTTTTTTTTTTTGAGACGGAGTTTCGCTCTTGCCCAGGCTGGAGTGCAATGGCGCGATCTCGGCTCACCGCAACCTCCGCCTCCCGAGTTCAGGCAATTCTCCTGCCTCAGCCTCCTGAGTAGCTGGGATTACAGGCATGCNCCTCAGCCTCCTGAGTAGCTGGGATTACAGGCATGCACCACCATGCCCAGCTGATTTTTTGTATTTTTAGTAGAGACGGGGTTTCACCTTGTTGACCAGGATGGTCTCGATCTCTTGACCTCGTGATCCACCCGCCTTGGCCTCCCAAAGTGCTGGGATTACAGGCGTGAGCCACCGCGCCCGGCCCAAATTTCTTTAATTTTAGCTGCTTAGAGTTTTTTTCTGGTGACAAATGAAATGCAGAAAATTAAACAGTCATAGGAAAAGGGCAAAAAGGCCAGGTGCAATGGCTCACCGGCACTTTGGGAGTCCAAGGCGGGCAGATGATGAGGTCAAGAGATCGAGATCATCCTGGCCAACATGGCGAAACCCCATTTCTACTAAAAATACAAAAATTAGCTGGGTGTGGTGGTTTGCACCTGTAAACCCAGCTACTCAGGAGGCTGAGGCAGGAGAATCGCTTGAACCTGGGAGGTGGAGGTTGCAGTGAGCTGAGATCTCACCACTGCACTCCAGCCTGGGTGACAGAGCAAGATTCCATCTCAAAAAAAAGAAAAAGGGCAAAAAAAATAAAAAAAATCAAAAAAAAGAGAAAAAGAAAGAAGAGTAAAGAAGGAAAGAAAAAGAATGAAACAAAGAAAAAGAGAGAAAGAAAAAGTAAGCAAGCAAGGAAAGAGCTCAGCAGCTCCATGAATCTTGGGGAAAGTGAGCACCTGATTCATTAGAGACTTGGGGTTCAAATGCCACCACAGTAGGGCAGTCCCAGCACTGGCTCACAAGGTTTGGTCAGGAAAAATTATTCAAGGGGTCAGAGAACGAATAGGTGAGGATATTGTCTTGAAAGGTTCAATCTATAAGCATGAAAGTATGAGAGGAAAAATCAGGCGAAGATGTATATAATTTTCTTTGATGTCACGTGGTAACTGGCATGACACTAAGGTATGGCATATGTCCGACGTATTTTGATGGAAGGAATTTTGGGGCACTGTGCTCTATGGCTGCATTAACAAAGAATAGACAGTGCTTTGCTAGTGACCTTTGGTTATTTACAAGCTATCGTGTCTCTAAACCCAAGAAAATACTGACTTCATTGTACTTTCTACTACAGCAAAACTAAATTTCCTCAGTACAACCAAGTGGTTTCCCTGAAATTTCCAACTCACAAACAGTGATTTAGCTCAAATTAAGCCATTTAGTTCAGTTCAATGAATATTTATGGACAGTCTAATCTCTGCCAGGCCCTGTGTTAGGAGCTGAGGTACAAACAGAGATAAGACATGCCCCTTGCTTATCACCTGCTTTTATCATTCTTGAAAGGACAACCCTTTGCCTGCCTCATCTGTCCTTGGCAGAATCACCTTCTCTCATCTCCATACACCCTAATTCATGGTCTATTCATGAAAAACATTTGGCTCCATTCTTATATCCTTGAGGAAATGCTCTTAAATTAACTTGTCCTTACACTGATCTTGCCTTCACTCTCTTTGTTTACAGTTCCGTTGTCTGCTCCTCTTTTTCCTATATATTAAAAAACAAACTACTGTTTTTATAACTATAATTATTATTTTTAAAAAATCACCCATAGCTGGGCGCGGTGGCTCACGCCTGTAATCCCAGCACTTTGGGAGGCCAAGGCGGGTGGATCACGAGGTCAAGAGATCGAGACCATCCTGGTCAACAAGGTGAAACCCCGTCTCTACTAAAAATACAAAAAATTAGCTGGGCATGGTGGTGCGTGCCTGTAATCCCATCTACTCAGCAGGCTGAGGCAGGAGAATTGCCTGAACCCAGGAGGCGGAGGTTGCGGTGAGCCGAGATCGCGCCATTGCACTCCAGCCTGGGCAACAAGAGCGAAGCTCCGTCTCAAAAACAAACAAACAAACAAACAAAAAAAATCACCCATAATTGGCCATCCTAACACAACTGTTCAAAATCCATGTCCACCCATACACCTGGTATTGATACAATCATAATTGCAGCATGGATATAATTACTCTTCTGTCATTTTTTACAATCTCCAATATTTATACAGCTTTGATTTTCACAGGGTACACCACACAGATAAATACTGTAAATTTTGATAAATTTTAAACATCAAAAGTGAAATTTTATTAGAAATGCACTTTCTAAGAAGATGAACTACTTACTTTGTTTCTAAATGAGTTCAGATATCCACGGTAACCAAGACTCCTTACTAGAATGAGAGAGAGTTTTCTCTACTGTCTTATTTTAAAATTTTCTTGTTGACATAAAGCGCTAAGAAATCTTACTCATATAAATAAGTAGATGGGAATAGAAGGAGTCTTGTTATAACATGAATTACTTCTCTGAATTTCTTTTAAAGTATATGTTCTTTGCCCTAGCCCAGTAACACAGATACTAAAATATAATTTTTAGATAGGTCATTATCACCTAACATTTCAATTCAATGAGGTATATTTTCTTTTTTTGAGACAGGGAGTCTTGCTGTGTCACCCAGGCTGGAGTGCAATTGTGAGGTCTCGGCTCACTGCAACCTCCGCCTCCTGGGTTCAAGCTATTCTCCTGCCTCAGCCACCCAGGTAACTGAGAATACGGGTGCACGCCGCCACGCCTGGCTAATTTTCGTATTTTTAGGAGAGACAGAGTTTCACCATATCGGCCAGGCTGGTCTTGAACTCCTGACCTCGTGATCTGCCTGCCTCAGCCTCCCAAAGTGCTGGGATTATAGGCATGAGCCACAGCAACAGGACTGTGATTTTAGTTTCTTAACAACTAACTGAGGAAATAATGTAGATGTTTTTCCCTGGGCTTTATCTGATCCATTCTGACAATGTGCATTAAAAAAAGAAAATCAGTGTTACTAATACATGCTGTTCAAGCTGTTAGAGTACAAAGAGAATTGAAAAGAACTGTGTGCATTTAAATATGTGAAAGGCTGCTTCTGACTTTCAGAAACTCTTTCTTTGCACTGACTGGACTCTACCTTCAGAACTATGCACTCTTTGATAAAGAGGGATGAAAGAGGTAAGTCACCCTGCTTTATTGTCACGTTGTGTCTAAATTCAGGATAGCTCAACACATTCCAAGACATCCAGCCAACTTGATTAAGAAGGAAATCCGGCTGGGTAAGGTGGCTCATATCAGTTTGGGAGGCTGAGGGGGATGGATCATGAGGTCAGGAGTTTGAGAGTAGCCTGACCAGGCTGAGGCAGGAGGTTTGCTTGAACCAAGGAGGTGGAGGTTGCAGTGAGCCAAGATCGTGCCACTGCACTCCAGTCTGGGTGACAAAGTGAGACTCTGTCTCAAAANAAAAAAAAAAAAAAGAGTCTGGAAGGTCACTGGCTTGACAGGGTCCTTCTCCCTGTTCTCAGGAGTGAGCTAGGCTAGGCTGCAGGAAACTCTGGGACAGAGAAAGGATTCCCTCCCATCTTTGGTTTGCTCCTCTAAGATGATCTAAGTAAGCAGAAATGAGTTTCCCTGCATCCTCATCTACTCAACCCACCGGACCAGTTGGGGCCATGGAGAACAAATGTGAGAACACGCCCATGAGTGCCAAGTTGTGTAGCATACTAGTCAAGACTTTAGTTCTATAGGCTGGGCACAGCGGCTCACGCCTGTAATCCCAGTAGTTTGGGAGAAGTGTCTGCACCTAGGAGACTGAGAACACCTGGGCGACATAGCAAGACTCCCCCACCCCCATCTCTAAAAAAAAAAAAAAACAAAAGGTTAAAAAAAGGCTTTAGTTCTACAGGCTGGGCACAGTGGCTCACGCCTGTAATTCCAGCAGTTTGGGAGAACTGTCTGCACCTAGGAGACTGAGAACGCCTGGGCAACATAGCAAGACCCACCCATTTCTAAAAAAAAAAAAAAAAAAAAAAAAAAAAAAAAAAAAAAAAAAAAAATAATAATAATAATAATAAATCAAAAGGCCTGGGTGCCGTGGCTCACGCCTGTAATCCCAGCACTTTCGGAGGCCAAGGCAGGTGTATCACGAGGTCAAGAGATTGAGATCATCCTGGCCAACATGGTGAAACCCCGTCTCTAGTAAAATGCAAAAATTAGCTGGGTGTGGTGGCACACGCCTATAGTCCCAGCATCTGAGGAGGCTGAGGCAGGAGAATCGCTTGAACCCAGGAGGAAGAGGTTACAGTGAGCTGAGGTCTCGCCACTACACTCTAGCCTGGGTGACAGAGTGAGGCTCCATCTCAAAAAAAAAAAGGAAATCCGGCATAAGGACACCTTTGTTAGTAATCAAGGGAGGCTCCCCCATGCTTGGTACCCTGGTGTTCTGCAGCCCAGATGAGCACACAGTAAAAAGATGTGGGATGCCAGCAGAACTGCCCTTCTTCTATGTCAAATATAAGAAAGGTTATTTCAAGTCAGTTCGCAGGCAGATCACCTTTAAGAAAACAGGCCGGGTGTGGTGGCTCACGTCTATAAGCCTAGCACTTTGGGAGGCCAAGGCAGGCAGATCACCTGAGGTCAGGAGTTTGAGACCAGCCTCACCTACATGGCGAAACCCCATCTCTACTAAAAATACAAAAATTAGCTGGGTATGGTGGTGCATGTCTGTAATCCCAGCTACTCAGGAGCCTGGTGTGGGAGAACTGCTTGAACTTGGGAGGTGGAGGTTGCAGTGAGCCGAGATTGAGCACTGCACTCCAGCCGAGCCAACAGAACAAGACTCCCTCTCAGAAAAAAAAAAAAAAAAAAGAAAGAAAACTGTTGGTGGAAGCTGAGGATCTACAAAGTAAATCTGTTAAAATATCAAGCTCAAGAACACCTTGAAGTCTTGGCTCAACCCCTGTACGTGAAGTAGGAGAATCACGGGGTTGGCACACAGTCAGCCAGTGCCATTTGTCCAGGGTCACACTGTCAGCTAGAGCCAGCAATTTCATGTCTTCCCAACTCTTGTTTTTTTTGTTCTGTTTTGAGACAGAGTCTCGCTCTGTTGCCCAGGCTGGAGTACAGTGACACAATCTAGGCTCACTGCAACCTCCACCTACTGGGTTCCAGTGATTCTCTTGTCTCAGCCTCCCAGGAGCTGAGATTACAGGCGCCCGCTACCAACGCCTGGCTGATTTTTGTATTTTTAGTAGAGATAGGGTTTCACCAAGTTAGTCAGGCTGGTCTCAAACTCCTGACCTTGTGATCTGTTGCCCTGGCCTCCCAAAGTGCTGGGGTTACAGACTTGAGCCAGCGTGCCCACCTCAGCTCTTGTTCTTTGAGTGTGCATAGAACAGTATCTTCTCTACCAGATAAATTCTGAAGAATTTATCTTCTTTATCAAGATAAATTCTAAATGTTGTCAGTTTGAGGTGAACTGTGGTGGTGTGTGGTATCTTTTCCATTTTAAAATTTTATTTTGAAATCACTGTTTCCTCCCTGATTAGATTCTGCTTATAGCATGTTTTCCAGTTCTGAAAGAGCTATGATTTGCCTGCCAAAAAAATTCTTGAAGAATGTTAAGGGCATAACCTTACTTGTTCTAATTCTATTTAAGCCAAATGAAATACTAATATCAGATGAATTTTTATCAATATGCATTACAATTTTAGTTCCTCATTTTTTCAACAGAAGGCAACTTTATTTATTTGAGTAGAGTAAAACACTTCAAAATAGTTCATATTCTAACAGATCATAACCTCAGCCATGTATGCCACTCACACAGCATGCACAAACATTTAAAGAGGCTTTTAAAAACTCCTAGTGGTAGGAGAGCAGTTTGCCATTCACACACATGTATTAAAAGACTGCTCTGGAGCCAGAGAATTTAGAGGCCTGTCTCTGCTGTTTATTAATCATGTGGTGAGCTTTGGAAACCCACTGAAACTCCAGAAGCCTCAGATGTCTCCTCTGTACACCAAGGGTAAGAATATTTACCTACCTTGTACGGCTGGCATAAAAACAGAGGGTAATGCAGGCGCAGTCCCTACCACAGGCCTAGACAGGCAGATTGCTAAGAAGGTAATTTTCTCTACTAACAACTTACCAGAACCATATCCAGGTATTGGCCCTTTGGTTTGAAGGTCTGGGAGCCCCACATTCAATGCGTTGGGTACCATGTTGTCCAGATGCGGCTTGGGCCCGACGGGATGAGAGGGCGAGTGCTTCATGCCTGGCTGCCTCTGCTGCTGCTGCTGCTGCTGCAGTGCACTCACCATTCGAGCCAGCTGGTGGCCAAGAGAGACGGACACGTGATAAGCACGGACCAGAATTTCCCAGGAGGAGACTGCACCCGGTTCCTCTTTGCCATCAGAGGCTAAGCCGGGATGTACTCCTCAAAGACAGCACTGGAGGGACCCTGCCCACCCACATACCTGCTGCTCTTGCTGTTGGCGTACAGCTTGAGAAATCTTTCTCTGGTTCTGTAACAACTGCTGCTGTTGCTGCTGTTGCAAGAGAAGCTGACATGCCTACGAACAAGGGAGAAAGACAGAGAACCAAAGTTTCCTAAGACTGATTTACTGAGAACACCTTGAGGGTCTGTGCACTGGTACGGGTCACATAGTCAAAAGTATCCAAGAGCGAAGTAACACCAAATTCCTGGTCTCTTGGTTACGTTTTCCTCCAGTTGAGTTGACAACCCTTAAGCACACTCCATAGTTGGTATAAAAGTGTAGACTAGCACCCTTTGAACATATAGGCAAAGATGCAGGAAGCAAATCAAAGCTAAAGAAAGAAAAAAAAAATGGCCTTTTTAACTACAGGAAGAAAATCTGCTACTTACCAACTGAAACTGGGGAATTTGTGGAAGCTGGCTCAGCATGGCAATTTGTTGAGGAGATAACTGGGGCCCCACATTGAAAAGACCTGGACTCAGGCCACTGCTGGGAAACTGCTTGAGCATTGAGGCAGAAACCTAGCCGAAAAAATTAAAAAGAAAAGGAATCTTTAGAATTTATCAAAATAAAACTTTTTTCCTGTGAAAAGAATCTTGATGAATCTAAAGCAAGTGTTCTCAAACTTTTCTGTGAAAAATATGTAACAGGAAAAATACACTGAAGTGTTAACAATGATTATCCTGGAGGAGTGCAATGGCAAGAGCTTTTAAATTTTCTTCTTAGACTTTCCAGTTTTCTACAATAAAAAGTATAAACTGTATATTCAGGAAAACATCCTCAAGGAAAAAAAATTGATGACAATATGGCTTTTATCCAATTGAGAAATTATTACTGGAAATGTGCCATAAAAACAAAACATACTCAATTGCATAAAGCTAATAAATACTACTACATGAAAGGATTTCTGTGACACAAATAAGACAAATATGCTAACTTGTAAATAGGAGACCTAAGTTTCAACTCATGGCTTCTGACAGCAAACACCCACAGAGTGGTAGTGTAAAAAGACAGCCAGCATAAAAGAGCCTGGAAGGGCCGGGTGAGGTGGCTCACTCCTGTAATTCCAGCATTTTGGGAGGCTGAGGTGGGTGGACCATGAGGTCAAGAGATCGAGACTGACCTGGCCAACATGGTGAAACCCTATCTTTACTAAAAATACAAAAATTAGCTGGGCATGGTGGTGTATGTCTGTAGTCCCAGCTACTCAGGAGGCTGAGGCAGGAGAATTGCCTGAACCTGGGAGGCAGAGGTTGCAGTGAAGGTGCCACTGCACTCCAGCCTGGGTAACAGAGAGAGACACCAGCTCAAAAAAAAAAAAAAAAGAGTCTGGAAGGTCACTGGCTTGACAGGGTCCTTCTCCCTGTTCTCAGGAGTGAGCTAGGCTAGGCTGCAGGAAACTCTGGGACAGAGAAAGGATTCCCTCCCATCTTTGGTTTGCTCCTCTAAGATGATCTAAGTAAGCAGAAATGAGTTTCCCTGCATCCTCATCTACTCAACCCACCGGACCAGTTGGGGCCATGGAGAACAAATGTGAGAACACGCCCATGAGTGCCAAGTTGTGTAGCATACTAGTCAAGACTTTAGTTCTATAGGCTGGGCACAGCGGCTCACGCCTGTAATCCCAGTAGTTTGGGAGAAGTGTCTGCACCTAGGAGACTGAGAACACCTGGGCGACATAGCAAGACTCCCCCACCCCCATCTCTAAAAAAAAAAAAAAACAAAAGGTTAAAAAAAGGCTTTAGTTCTACAGGCTGGGCACAGTGGCTCACGCCTGTAATTCCAGCAGTTTGGGAGAACTGTCTGCACCTAGGAGACTGAGAACGCCTGGGCAACATAGCAAGACCCACCCATTTCTAAAAAAAAAAAAAAAAAAAAAAAAAAAAAAAAAAAAAAAAAAAAAA